TGTCAGATACACCTACAGCGGATAAAATGAAGATCGCGTGGAGATATGAGAGTTTGGGCTCTGCAGGAGCTGCGAGAGGTAAGCTGTGGAGCCTGTCCATCGCCCGGTCATCGACTTACATGTCTTGTAGACAGAGAAGCACCACGGGCTCAGGGCGCGTCTAACCCAGGCGCTACTACGCCTTTCTGCCACGAATTTGATCTTACAAAAAGGTTATCGGCCGGCCATGTGAAAGGCCAGATCGGCTTCTACCCATCCATGCCCATCCCGACCCCTGGGGTTCAAGAGCCCTCTCCACTCAAGCTCTTTATCAAAATATTGTCGTCAAAGCTCGCGAAATCGCCCCCGTCAGATATCCATCGTGTCATAGTACCCAGCCTCTTGTCGCCGACAACGTACTCGAGCTCGTCTTCACTTCCCCAGGAGGTGCTACAGTTCCTGCACGCTCTGAGGGCCCTTCTAAGGCAATATCCCAAGAAACTCACAGTTTTGTTGACACTACCGCTCTCCCTTTACCCCCGAACAACGGGTCTCACGCGATGGATGGAGCTACTGTGTGATGGTGTGCTTGAGTTCATACCTTTGCAGTCTACAACCATCCACAAGCCTCCACCATCTTCCAAGGGCGATAGTAAGGACGACGAGAAAGTTCAGGGCCTCGTGAAAGTCCACAGTCTGCCCATTTTCCATGAGAAAGGAGGCGGATCACACTCAGCACTAGACGATCAATCTTTTAGCCTTAGTCGGTCAAGGGGACTGATAATCAAGCCCTTTTACCTCCCGCCGGCCGATGGTGACGAGAATGAGCCCAAAGCAGGGGAGTCCGGCAAGCCAAGCATGGATTTCTGAGGCTGCATGAAGACTGGCCTCGGAATTGGAATTTGGTAAGAGCAACCTTGGAAATATACCAATGTATAATGAAATTGCATAATCCGGGTTATTGCATATTGCACACTCACGAAGCGGATCCACTTGCCCGCCCCCACCACACTCCCCAAAACTTTTTCTCGAATTTGAATCCAACCCAAATTCCTTCAACATTCCAATCACAACAACAGGTGAGTATTGAAAAAATGCCCTTTTCTTGCACACGCACACGCACACGCACACGCGCTTTCTCTACAATGATTACAACTAATCAATATCTGTCAATCCACTGAAAAACATATTCTGTTGATAACATCTATAATCTGGTTTTATGATTGTTACCTCTATATTGTCCCTGATGTATAAGCACAAGCATTTGGAAGAGCATAGCGACTGACCTCGTTCTCAGATATTACAACTGCCAATATCGCAATGGCTTCTACGACACCTTGTGACCGTCCTCTCCTGAGGATCTCAAAGGTTGCCGGGAGACATCTGCTGTTCGACATAGACGACGTGATGTTTCTACGCAGGAACCACAATATATGCTCCGTCTTTGTAGGCACTATTCCCCAGAATCCTCAACAGAACGTTTTCATGGGACTGCCACTGGAGCTCATGCCCGAAGAAGCACAAGTTCTGGTCGAGAAGAAGGTGGCCTATGTTGCTGATGACGCATCGTTCCACCCAACCCGATTGGCGGCGTTGGGTGAGTCATCAAGGAGGGCCTATATACAGTCACTTAGGAATCAGGGTAAGAAAATGCAGTTGGCTGTGACTGAGAGCCATAATCGCAGTAAACCCAAGTCACGAGAAGGGAAGCCGAAAAATAAGAAAAAGGAGCCAAAGGAGTCAGGAGATTCGCCCACCAATGAACTGAGCGGCGACACAGAAATGGATGACAGTAGTGTCTTCGACTCTGCACCCACAACACGGAAAGCAAGCAACAAAACACCTGGAGATGTTGAGGGCTATGTGCTTACACCCACCACCAGCAGCTTCCTATTATTAACCCCGCCAGGCTCAGAGCCGGAGCCTTCAGCTGTCGTAGACGTGCCTGTGTCCTACCCCTTGTTTGCTCACTTGCATGATAAGGGATATTATATGATGCCTGGTCTTCGTTTCGGCTGCGACTATAATGTGTACCCGGGGGATCCTCTGCGCTTCCACAGCCACTTCGCTGGTGTCCATTTCGGATGGGATGAAGAGATAACAATGATGGATCTAGTGGGCGGCGGTCGACTCGCCACCTCTGTCAAGAAGGGATATCTCTTTGGTGGCGCCGTAGCTGATGGATCGAGTCCTGGACAGGCTGGCGATAACAATGGTGTGTCACGAGATGAGCAACCCAAAGTCAAGGGTGGGCCTGTGGCACCACCAGTGCGGACATTTTGTTTAGAATGGGCAGGCATGTAGCGATGCGCTCAAAATCTTGTAAGACGACCTATTAATGCTAATCATCTGTGCTAATAAATGACGAGCTCTGTGCTGAGAAGCAGTAATCTGATGGCTATGAAGTGGGACTTTCACTAATCGTGTTTGAAATTCCGTGGTACATGATTTGAGGTGTTTTATCCGGATAGCTACTTAGTATCGAGTAGGGTTTCAAAATCACTAACTTATACACCTAAGTTACCCAACCTACACCGGTAGTTTGAGGAAAGAAAACAGAGAGGCTGACTTATCAGCATCGCAAAATGATGAGAGGCTTCACCAAAGTGTATATATGACCCGATTGAGCCTTATCCAGATATGGTCGTAGTTGTTTCATTACTAAGATTGCAGATATGTCGTTTCCAAATTCCCTATTCCTTTTCGACTAATGCTGGTAGTGCCAAGATCGCAGCATGGCCATGTGAAGACTTCGCCATCCAATCCCATGCGACGCACGCAGCATCGTTGCTTGTTCAAGGTCTAGGTTGCAAGGATCAGCCAATGCAATACGAAACACGACGTCATTGTTGATATCGGCCTGTCCGATATTAGGCACCGAATAACATCACCCCGTTTCGAATATCAAGCTTGGGATAGGGTCTTCGCAGTATGCACAATCGTCCAGCAACGCTAGAATCGATGTGTCTGCCAGAATGAGCGAGGATACGAAGAACAAAACAGAGGTCGACGCCGCCGAAGTCCTCTCCATCCACGACATCGGGCCGCCGCCGGTGGAAGAAGACTATGTGAACCCTGCAGAGAAGAGCCCCCGATGGCTTCTCGGAGCGCACGCGTACGCGCTCCGTCTCATGGCTCGCTTTGGCTTCCACCTGGGGAATCGGTCGGGTCTGCCCACGCCGTCTCCCACCGAGACCATCTGGCTTGATTCCACACTGGGCGAGGGGAGAGGCAAGGAAATGATCAGCGCCAACGTATGGGTCCCCCCGGGGCCGCCACGCGCTACGAAGCGGCCGGCCGTCATCAACTTCCACGGCGGCGGGTTCATCCTCGGCCAGGGCACCGACGACTCGCGCTGGGCCGCCGCGCTCATGGAGACCCTGGGCGCCGTGGTCTTCTCGGTGAACTACCGCCTCGCGCCCGGCTATCCGTTCCCGGCGCCCGTCGAGGACTGCGTCGACGCCATCGTGCAGATCGGCCAGCTCGCCGACCGCTACGGGTTCGACGCCGGCCGCGTCGTGCTGTCCGGCTTCTCGGCCGGCGGGACGCTGGCCACCAGCAGCTGGATCGTGCTGCAGGACCCCGCGCGGTGGGACTACTCGCTGCCGGCGCCGGTGCCGGGCATCGCCGGCCTCGTCCTCTACTACCCGGCGCTCGACTGGACGCTCGACCGGCCGCAGAAGCGCCTGGCCTGCAAGCAGCCGGACAAGACGCTGCCGAGCGGCATCACGGACCTGATCGACGCGTCGTACGTCCACCCGCCGCTGCCGCGGCGCGAGCGGACGGACATCCGGCTGTCGCCGGGCCTGATGCCCGACGAGCTCGTCGACCGGCTGCCCCCCGTGCATCTGTGTCTCTGCGAGCACGACATGCTGCTGGCCGAGGGCAGGCTGTTCGCCGAGCGGCTCGAGAAGCGTGGGAAGCCGTACAGCGTGCGCATTGTGGAGGGCGAGAAGCACGCCTGGGATAAGCCCCCGCCGCTGGCGCCCAAGGCGTCCGTCGCGTTCGAGTACGACATCTCGATAGCCGCCGTCAAGAGCTGGCTGGGCGAGGCGTAAAGGGGTCCCGGAGGGGCTCTGAGCAGCGAAGTGGGAGTCATTCACCTCTAAGGGATATGAATCCTGTTGTGAAGATGGAACGTACACGGAATCGCGTGCCTACAATAGTTCGCAATGCCTATGATGTTGGATAATGGCGGGTGAAGGGGCCGTTCGAGACGCGATGCGCATCGGTTTTGGAATGAACACTATCTAGGACACTTGATCCGGTACCATTACGCTGCTGTGGTGGCGGACTAAAGGCCTCAGGAACCCAGCGCATCCTTGACACTCATGAAACCAAATCTGGCCTCCCATCTTTTCGTAGCTGGATAGGGATACTAGGCGGACAGCAGAATCTTTTTTTTTTTTTTTTTTTTTTTTGTAAATGGGAATACTCACTCGGCATAGAGTAGTCGAAACGTCCTCATGAAGAGATGGTACGATGGTTATGAACAGGTAGAAGTGGAAGCGATGCTATACACCAGTTGAATGGATACGGGAGAGTATAAGTGCCAAATGTATAAACACCATAAGGCAAGAGATTAATACCTCGTTAATAAAACCACCATAGAAAAATATACCAAGTTGTGTCTATCTATATTCCGTTTCCAGAGCATCCCTTTAGGGGGTATGTTATGATTACACTCACATCTTGATCATCAACGCCGACTAGTCTGATACGCTGATATGCTTCTGTTGGAATGCCCGGTTGACGTCCCAAACCCAGTCGTTGCTCGAAAACAGCTTCACGGGTCAGGACTGGTACACATTGTCAAGTCAATCAACGTCAATGGCCGACGTACCGCTTTACCTAGTAGCATCAGCAACTCGGCCTAGAAGAAGGACCGCTTCACCTGCTTCAAACTCGTCCCTTTCAGACGACGGCGCCGGAAGTTTAGAGTAAGCCCGGATCGGTTTCTCGAGACGCCACACGAAGAGGACGGGAGAGAAAAATATAAAAAAAGCCCCAGCAATGCAAAAAGCTGTTGCCCGGGTTCGAACCGGGGACTCGGGAACTTTGACGTGAAGCGTTGAAAGCTTTGAATCAAAATCCCACGTGCTAACCACTACACTACATCAGCCTTGAGAGGAAGCTGTGACGGCTTCCCTTATTAGCAAGACCTATATATGAATGGCCCGAGGAGCTCAACCACCAAAAGAGTCTGGTGGAGTTACTAGGTTCGGTTCAAATATGCTATTGTGCAATCCCATCTTGTTATCGTTATTCCATGGAGCAGAAACAAATGCATACGTCCTTGATCGCTGTCCTGCGGACCGGGCGGGGGACTTCATTTTCCACGGCTGGGTTGAAGACGGAGGGAGAGGCGTGTATTTGTTGATAGCAGCGAGCTGTGCGCAGCTGTTTGACGATGCCGTCCGTGCCTCGGAAAAGCCTACATGCCTTCTCAAACGGGATTATTGTGAATTACGGGGAAGCGATCACGTATCCTCGGCAGGGACTGTACTCTACTCACTGCCCGGGTCTTCCTACATGCTCGCAATGTCCAGAGGGAGCCGGAAGCTCGGCGTTTCGACTCGGCGGGGCAAGAATGGCGGCACAGGCAGGCCTGGCTCTGCGGGGTTGAAGGATGGCTCCCACCTCCGCGCGATGGCGACATCGTACATCGCACACCCCACCTCCGATATCGAACGCGGATACTCCCAGACTACCTAAGTTACCTAAGTTGGAGATACCTAATCTAAATCCAGGCAGATACCTAGTCGTTATGGTTATCTTCTTTCTCCTGTAGCCCGACTATCTAAATAAGAGCAGGCAGAGGCATAGAACGCCCTTGCCTACCCTCCGTCTTCCTATTCCCCATTGGCCTCCCCTCGCAAGCCACCCATTTCGCTTCGCTTTGAAAAAGGCCGGCAGCAAGCAGCAAGACACATCCGTCCGTCCGACCCTGCATGCCCCTCCACCGCACCGCAGCCACCCTCCGCCACACGCTGCACACGCTCCTCCGCAGACCAACCGCAGCAAGTCCCAGCTCGCCGGCTCTCCTCCAGACTATCCCGTCGCGCGCCATGGCCTCGGCAGTAGCGAAGCGCCTCGCCGGCAAGACGGTGGTGATCACGGGCGCGTCGTCGGGCATCGGCCGCAGCACCGCCTTCGAGTTCGCCCGCACCGCCGCCCCCGCCGGCGGGCTCAAGCTCGTGCTCACTGCACGCCGCGGCGACGCCTTGAGCCAGATCGCCGCCGATATCCGTGCCGAGGTCGGCGAGTCCGTTCAGGTGCTCCCCGTTCAGCTCGACGTGAGCCGGCCGGACGAGGTGCGGGGCTTCGTCGACGCGCTGCCCGAGGAGTTCAGGGAGGTCGACGTGCTGGTGAATAATGCGTGAGTGAACTGCCTACCCTGCTCTACTTTAGCCCCCGCCCACCGCGAAGACGAGCGGAGTCATCGTTGCGGACAGGAAAGAAGAATAAAAGGGCAACAACTAATGCCAATGGATAGCGGTCTCGTCAGGGGCGTTGCTAAGGCGCCCGAGATCGCCGAGGCCGACGTCGACGTCATGTTCAGCACCAACGTCACCGGCCTGATTAACATGACCCAGGCCATTCTCCCCATCTTCCTGCGCCGCCCCGACGGCGGCCGCGGCGACATTATTAATATTGGCAGCATCGCCGGCCGCGAGCCCTACGCCGGCGGCAGCATCTACTGCGCTACTAAGGCTGCTGTACGCAGCTTCACTAGTGCCCTGCGCCAGGAGCTCATCGCCTCACGCGTCCGTGTATTGGAGATAGACCCCGGCCAAGTTGAAACGGTACGCAAGATTTATTGAACTCCTGAGGTTTCCGACGTTGCATACGCTCGATGTGGGACATAATGTACTCACTAACGGACATTGATGCAGGAGTTCTCTGTTGTTCGGTTTTACGGCGATAAAGCCAAGGCTGATGCGGTATACGCGTGAGTTCAACTACTGTTTGCAGATCTGGATTTTTGTTTCAATTGCTGATGGTGCTCCTAGCGGTGTCGACCCTTTAACTCCCGACGATATTGCCGAGGTTGTTGTCTTCGTTGCCGGACGCAAGGAGAATGTCGTGGTGGCTGACACACTAATCTTTCCTAATCACCAGGCCGGCGCCGGCGTTATGCACCGAAAATCATAGAAAGCGCTGTTAGAAAATGCTATAAATACAGTGTTGTATATTCCATAGAATCTAGGTAAATAGGGCATATATACAGCAAATAGTAACTATGAAGCATGCAGTTCAATCACGGTGTTGGCGATAGTTACGGGATCAAGTTTCTAATGTGGCAAGACTACCATACGTTGTGCTAATTTCGGCAAGCGTAATTATACCAAGAAAGCCTACTAACAAGACAGGTTAGCGAGGTAACAACACTGGCCTGGCTTGAAATATGGTGTGACAAGTGTGGTTCAGCAAACCAGTTTACTCATTCACATGTGTCGGCTCTCCACGCCACACCCCAAGACGAGGTATAGAGATGGAAAACACGGAAGCCAGCATCACGCCCCCAACAAGTCCGGTACAAGACCGAACAAGGTAAGAAACAACTCCACAACCAATCATCACCGGCCCAGAAGGACCGACTACGGTGTGGGAGGGTGGCTCGACCCAGTGTGAGATAGTTGAATGGATAAACAGTTTTCATCATTCAAAGGAATTCAGAGGCTAGAAGTCGAGTGTGTCTTACCACTTGCGGGATTGTGCTGGTATTTCTAGATTCTCGGAGGGAGAGGTTGCCATCTACAATAAACTTCCACAATGGTCAGCCAATTATGCCACTGCAGAAAGTGATTCAGGCAGATGTGATAGAGGTTGTTGGATCAGAGTGAATTTTTGGTATATGGGTTTCTTCATTATGTTCAGAAGCAGAACTGAATAATTGAAGTCTCATCATAGAAGATACAAATAAAAGAGATTGGGAGATGTGACGACATACCTATTAATCATGTCCCGGTGGGATCGCAGGACAGGCGTGTCAACGAAGCCTATGGCGCTACTATGGTGCTACTAATATCATGGTCAGCTGTCGGTTCAGAGTGTCGGTTCCAGCAAGACGTAGATGGCGTTGTGCTTCAGATGGTAGTGCATGTTTAGTTCAGTACGCTCAGGAGATCGCGAGAACTGTGGAAGATAGTTCATCAATAGCGAGGGGTATGGGAGGGATAGAATATGTTGATGAGGATAAATGCGCAGCACAAGTTGCTTACCTCTACTTCAGTGCTCCGTGATCAATGACCTACTGACCGGAGGCGCCGCCTCAAAACAGAAATTGCTGTGATCCAACAGTGAGGCCACACTCTTGGGCAGCCATCAATCAAATCCGTGTGGTGCTCTCGGAGCGGCTGACGACAGGAAGTGGCGGAAGACTGGGTGGAAGGGGAGTGGGAGAAAGGAAGACGCAAAATTCTGTTGGATGGATTTTAATGTAAAAGGCTGGCCCCGTTTCTGATTGGATGGTGGAGCCAGACAGTTGCTGGCGGGGCAATCGATAAGGCAGCTATCTGGGTGGGCTCCGATTTTCGTGGGCATGTCTGGTGTCTGGCTTGCAACGTTGGAGCTTCAACATTCAACACCAAGGAAAGTCGCCGGTGCATGTATTTCCGTTTGCCCCAGGCGTCGCACCAGTAATCCCCGCCGACATCCAGACCGCTATGGCTGACCGGAGAAGGATAAATGGCCCAGTGGGAGCCACACTGCCCCCAATCTACGACAGCCCACCGCCACCTCGGAATAGCGCAGAGAAGCCCGAAAATGCTATTCGCAAGATCTGTACGTAACAAGCTGCAGCCGAGGTTGCTTCGTTCGCCTGCCACTTGCTAAACTCCCACGTGCAGTCTTGAGGACGGGAGTCACACCCTCTGCCTCTGGATCGGCCTATCTAGAGCTCGAAAACCCCAATGCGATGGGGCCTAGCAATACGAGCCTCAAGTTAACCTGTACCGTCCACGGCCCGCGGGCTCTCCCGCGATCTGCGCCCTTCTCCCCGCACATCATTCTCACAACTCACGTCAAATATGCACCGTTTGCGACAAAACAACGGCGCAGCTACCTGCGAGACTCGACCGAGAGGGACCTGGGTGTACACTTGGAGACCGCACTACGCGGCGCCGTCATCGCTGACCGCTGGCCCAAGAGCGGTGTCGATATTATCGTCACGATAATAGAAGGCGATCAAGATCGACATGCACCCGAGAACCAGCACGACGATGGGTGGGATACAATGAATGTGCTGAGCGGTTGCATCACTGTGGCTTCGGCCGCCATCGCCGATGCGGGAATCGACTGCGTCGACACGGTGGCCGGCGGTGTTGTCGCGCTGGCCGCTAAAGACCCAACTAGCCCGCCGTCTATCGTTCTCGACCCGGCCATCGCCGACTATCATAAAATCTATGCGGCTTGCTGCATTGCGTACCTGCCCACGCGAGATGAGGTCACGAATCTGTGGTTCAAGGGCCAACTGCCCGGTGCCGATGTCATGCTGTACAATAATATGGTTGAGAGATGTTTGGTCGCGTGCCGGAATGCCAACCGCGTCGTTGTTACGGCTCTAAAGAACACCATTACGCCGGGTCAAGAGGTGTCGTGATCTCGTCTATTCTAGCGAATAAACATCTGGACGTATCAATGCTGCCTCGGTAGCGCAGCTTTGATGAGCTGCATACACTACGGGACCTACGGATCCGAAGCATATGGAAGCTGAGTCAGCGCTGTACCGGAACCACCGGCATCATGCATTGATGTGTAGGGTACATTCGGCGTAGTAAGTCCAGAGCGGCTTTATAACAGCCTAGAGGCATAAGTATTTATTGGTAGCTGTGTTTACTAAAGATCTACCTATGCTATCGACATTGTGGACTTGGAACGACGGAGCCGAGCCTCTGAGATGGCTTCAACATCAAGCCCACATGATGAGCTTGTGGCCAAAAGTCCTGGATTGGAAAATGATCATCGGGGAGAATGGCTTGAGAGGCCCCGAGTGGAAGATGCAAGAGTTATATGTGTCGGCCCAGTCGCTAACCCCACCCAACACGGTCTCGAAGGAAGATTGCTTACCTTCTCTTCATCTATACACATATATGACAAATGCTTGCTATGCTGAGGGAG